TTGTAGCATCAACCCTTGGCATATTTTAGAAGAATGTTTAGAACAAGTTTGGATATGTAGAATCATTTTTAAGAGTGTTTTTCATGGCCTAATTTCAGATTCACAGAGAAGCTGAAAAAGTCACACTCACATGCAGACTATTTGGCTATCCCTTGCTCAAATTCCTCAAATGTTAACATTTCTTTTTTTTTTTTATTTTCCAGTTTAAATTTAGATAAGAAACGAGGTTGCTTCACAAGTCAGTTCCAGGTCCCTCTCCCATTCCCTCCCCTCTTCCCGTGCCCTCCCCCAACCCCCCCAAATGTTAACATTTCATAGATGAGAATTTCACACAGTTATCTTGGGCAGATCCAGAGGCACAAAGAACAGTGATAGAGAGCTCTCCTACTGTGTGCAAAGCCCCGGCTTCAATCCCCAACTCCACATAACATTAAAACCGGTAATATTCCAAAGAATATTAAAGAGAACACATTATTAATCTTTGATATATACCAATAACTCTTAAGTGTCGATATGGCACTAATTGTATATGAGCAGATTCTAACATCTGGTCTGGTTTTTGAAAAATATACTTATGACATCCTGAAAAGCTAAAAGTACTTTTCTCCCAGATGTGACATTACAAGAGCCTGGGAATGTGCACATTGGGTGTTGTAGAATGCCAGCACACTGGTGATTGTGCTACAGTGCCAGCTTTCAACAGAAGGGACCGAGAGCCTGAACAGTATTAATTATTAAACGCTAACATTTAATCTTAGATCCTTATTATCTGTGCCAAGAGAAAACATCTGCGGATGCTTAGAACACGCAGATCTGAAGCATCACACAGACTCTTATTAGGTTTTCATGAAGCTTCCCAAAGAAGAAGGTGATTTGGGAAGCCAGGCATTTACTCTTCCGCTCATTCTTACAGCATCTCAGTGAGTAAATAGCCATGAGCTAAGGAAAACAACTTTACAACTTTCCTCGTGGGTCTGAGAAGAGAAGGAGAGAGGCTGCCTTTCCACTTCATGCTATCAAAAGTGAGATCCGGTCCATGAAGGACACTCAGTACCACATCATTACCGTTCCAGCCGAGGCCACCATCCTCCGACAATGGCCATCCATTTCCGCCCTGACACCTTGGCCTCTCTGTTGTACTGTTCCTTTGTAAATGTTCCTGACATTTTGTTTATCTTTCTCTTAAGCATTCTGCCAAGATTATATTTGAAAATGTGTAAGATGGAAAAAAAACCTTCCTCATTTTTCACTTGTTAAATCTGCTGTAAGGGACTTGACTCAGTGCCATTCTCTAAACACTGAGGACTTCTCAAGACTCTGAACATCCCCCACTAACTTGGTGGGGAGGGGATCAGAGCTGGATTATAAATATGAAAGCAGAGGACAGGGCAGATTTCTCATCATGAAATCAAACTTTTAATTGATACTCTATTCTCTCTGTTGGCAAGCAATGGTAAAGAAGGGTGAACTAATACAAATACATTTTCCCTTCCAGCTTCCAAGTCTGTGCAAATGAGTGTGTATGTGTGTGTTTCCTCATGTGCTATTTTTAAAAAGGTCTTTTAAAGGTAAATGGTGACTTTAAAAATATATCAATAGCACCACTTTTGATTGACAGTTCACAATTCTGTCTCAGGGTAGACCCCCAAACTTACTTCACATTGACCTAACTGAAACATTGCACCCTTAGGTCAACAGCACCCCATCTTTTCCCTCCTTGTCCAGCCTCCATAACTATGCTTCTACTCCAGACTTCTGGGAGATGAGTCTCTGAGATATCAGTAGCATTGTCATACATTCATTATTTTAGCCTGAAAAGTATCATCCATTTCAGCAATGGATGCCCCAACTGGAGGACCCTGGCATTCTGTCATAAAATGCTGAAGTTTACCAAAAGGAATTTGTGAGGAGGCCAAAGAAAACATCTCTCAGAGAAGCCAAGGTCAACTTTTAAATTTCAATTTAATTCACCATTGTAAATCTGATTCCCCCATTAGCTGGAGCATAGATGCCCCGCCCCTCCTGACATTTCTGACCTTCCCTGGATCACTTCTTCTCCTAATATTTGAATCATTGTTTTCTCCCTGATTTGGGCAATACTCAAAACAAAAACACCAGAATAGCTAGAAATTTTCACTGACTTCCACATGACGTGTGTCTAACATTTACAAATTCACCAATACTCAAACCTGGTTTACAGGAGTATGTCAGGTAAAGGCAAACAGCCCAAACAGTAATTCTCAGTCTTTCTTTATGTCCCTCTTACATGCTTCCAAGCACTCCAGGGTCTGGCAAGCACAACTTCACTTCACATCTTCCCCTTGGGTTTCTTGTCCTTTCTCTGAGCTCTTGAAACCCTCCCACCTCATTGCCTCAAACGACATTCTGTATTGGTGTTCCTGCTAGTGCCTCAATCCTAAATTAACCTTTCCCCACCTGTCACGGACGACATGTTGTCATTCCCACTGAAAATGCTCAAGTTTGTAGTCTGTCTTCTGCACTGCCAAACTTGCTAAATGGGCTCTACATGGAGCCTCATTAATTACCCTTTTCTCTCACCCTCCTTCCCCCAGCTATTTTAAGTCCTAGACCCCTGCGCAAAGCTAGCTACTTCGAATCCTCAAGGGCTGTTTCTGCAACTGTGATAAAGAGGAATTGGTAGCAATTAACCATGACTCCCAACTAGACCTGTAACCGACATAGCCACACAATCTGCAGAGTATTCCTACTTTCTGTAGGGACTTGACTAGTAGGACCATCTTAGAAATCAGTGTTTGTCCTGAACCTCGGAATAGTATCTACTTTAAAGAAACACTCGGCAGTTGTGTTTAGGAAACTGACTGTGAGCTCCTACTAGATTAAACTTGAGGCTGTTCTAGTGAATGTCTTTGGAGAAACAGAAGTGGACCTAAGGATCCACAGGGAAAGTTTTGTGAAGAAAAAGACTGGGTTCTGTGTTTTGCTGCCACAAGCAGAGGTAGGAATACCAGGCATGTCCACTAGCCAGAATGCGCAAGTGTGTGTGTGTGTGTGTATGTGTGTGTGTGTGTGTGTGTGTGTGTCCCTGCATCCTTGCAAGGACCCTGGCCCGCTGGACATTTTGAGCTTGGATTTTTGGCCTCCCCCAGAACTATGACAGACAATAGGTACTTTTTGGATGGAATGCGTGTGAAGAAACTGGTACAAGACCACCTCAAGTCTCTACTTAGTTACTCCTGAGAGAGAGCACCATCAACTTCTCTGTACGTCACTATGTCACTTATCATCATGAAGAGCGAGGGACATGGTTTCCAGTGCCCTTCATTGAGGAGCTTGTGTGATGAACACATAGATTCATAAGCATAAAAATTCTGACACGTAAGCAACATCAAGTAGGTGTGTCTATTTCTTCTCCTCCTTTCCCTCAGCTTATGGGAGAGTCAGGATAATGGAGATTGCTATTTTCCTTGAGACAGGGTCACGTGTAGTCCAGGCTGCCCTCAAACTATGCAGTCAGGGATGGCCTTGAATGTTTACCCTTCTGTCTTTCCCTTCAGAGTGCTGGGGTGTGACACCACTCCCAGTTTATACAGTCCTGGTCAGAGGAGCCAATGCCTCATGCACGCTACCAACTTAGCTCTACCCCCAAGCATAGTAACTTCAAAAACAAGAATGACCTGTTGCACATACTGACTCTAAAGGATTGGGTTGTATTTTGGGACTGGATCATCTAGAATTTATGTAGCTGTTACCCTGTAAATATAATTTTCAGAAGTATAGATGTTGGCAATGTGAATCCAAAGCACAGTAGTTCCTTGTACCTCAAGCTTGACGTGAGAGGGTACTTCTGATGTCTTTTCCTTGGCACAGTGTCACTTTCCAGTAAGTGTAGAAATGGATTACTTGGAGGGGGGATATTCAGCAATGAACAAGGCTGTGGGTAACTGTGAACAATCTAATATATTTCAAAGATCTACGATGTTGGCAGCTATAACCAAGGCTATAATTCCACACATGGGGACCACAAAGACCACCCAAATGTGTCAGGGAGATCAAACTAGGGAAGTAGAGACAGGAAGCAGCCATTGATTCAGTGATCTTGTGTTTACAACAGGCCTGGGGATGGGAGGCAGCTGGGCTTTATCATTGCCTTCGAAGAGGAACTATTGAGAAACTGAAGCCATAAACCCGCAAAGCCAGAACCTGCGAAGGCCACCAGCTGCTCACCAAGGTCACCACCTAACAGGACTGCAAAACTTAATAAGTTACCAGGAGGGCAGATAAAGGGTTAAAGATGGCTGTGCTGGTTTTGGCTCTTATATAGGCTTGAATGACCTTAAGGAAAACCTTTGAATGTACCAACTGTAATAAGAGATTAAATAATAATCATAATAACAATAATCTCCATTACTGCTTTTTGTAAAACTTAACTGGCTACCTATGAAAGAACTCTGAGACATTAAGACAGAAAAAGAAATTGATTCCTTCCTTTAAGTGTCTATAAAATTGACTTCCCAAGATAGAAAAGCAAGCTGTCTAAATCACTTGAAACTTTTTCTCATTCCATGAGCATCAAGATTCAAAAAAGTCCTTCAAGCCTCTGGAAATGGAACATTGACAGTATCTCCTATAAGACAACTAGGTTTTAGAAATGAGTGACCATATGACACTACTTCTCTTTTGGTCATTGGGTGATGTATTTCTAGGGCATGAACAAGAACCAGGATACTCATGTTATCCACATACTTCAGTGCTCTGAATGCCAGTTTGTTGTAGACCAAGAGTAGAAAAGAGAAATGATTTTTTTTTTAAAAATGGCAAATGAACAGGTCCTAAGTCATCTGAGGCCCATAAAGCTAAAAGAATAGAATAAAGAAAGACAAGGTAAATGGTCAAGAAACTAATAAAAGATCCCTAAAATTGAGGGATGAATTAAAATCTTGAATGAGAGGTTTAGACTTAAAGAAGATGGATTATCAAAGTGGACTTCAGTCTCAAGTAACAGAGAAGTCAGCTCCAAATTGCTCAAGCCGTAGATTTATTGGCTCATATATCAGGAAGCTTATAGAGAGTGGATGCTGAGCTCAATACATTGACACAAGTCTCAGTTCTTTCACTCCTGGGTCAGCGTTAGCTCAGGGAAAAGGTTTATTTCACCTCAGTCACGGGAGTGTCACAATGGTCCTCATCACCATGATGCTTGTTATCCATATTTGATGGGAGGGAGAGTCTGCCAGACTTGTAGGAATCTGCCTCCCTTGAAGTACTCAGGCTGTGGTAGATCTCTCATATCTAAACAGAATCGGGATCTATAAGGAAGAAGTATGAACAAGTTATTGATCTTTTTGCACCCCAGAGTATTAGAACAGAAAGATTTCCTGATTTCACTGTGTCCAATCCCTGCTTTCTCAAATGTGGGGCAGAGTACATAATGAGCAGGTCTCATATGAAATCAGGTCTAGATAATTCCCTTAAGTTCAAAGTTACAACCTTGTTTTATTGTTGTTGGACTGTTTTGTTTTACCTCACTTCACACTGTAAGTGCAGACGTTGCGTGACCTACAGTAACCTATTGTAAACTGAAAATCCCATACATTGAAAATGTATTGATGACACATCTACTATCATGGCTCAACCCAGCTTACCTCCCTGCCACTAGTACCTTAGATTAACCTTCAGTTGTGCAAAATTACCTAACATACCTTCTTTTAAAGTATTGAATGCTCCATGAAACTTATTGATGACAGGATACTGTAGAGTATGGTATTTAGTTAGTTCCTCCTCCTACTGACTGAATAACTGGCCAGGAGCTGAGGCTAACTGCAAATGCTTAGTGGCTGGCATACTCACGCATTCCAAGAGTATTGCAAAGGGCATCCTAGCCTGTGCAACAATAAAAATTCAAAGTCAGATATATGGGGTGTCGCATGTAGTCTGGTAGTAGAGTACTAACCCAGCATATGCAAGAGCTCAGATTTAGTCTCCAGCATTTAAAGAAATAAAAAAAAGGGCAAAGTGTCTATTCAATTGTACTTTTGTAGAGCCAAACCATGATGAGTTTGATCTTGTTAAGTCAAAGACCATCTGGAAAGGGAAACCTTCCCTCCCCCTCATAAGCACAGGAAGCGGCTTCTGACTTGGAAGTAGTACTTAGCCAGTGCCCCAGCCCACTCGGCACAAAGTGTATCCTCCGCAGTGGGACATCCTGTTCCTTTTATCACATTTTCATAATCTGCCAGGGCAATAGGATCACCTCGGGAACTCATTAAAAACACACCAAAAATTCACAGAGGCAAAAGTTGGACATCTATATAATTTTCAGTTATAGAGCAGAATTTGGAACCTGGGCAATTGAAGATAGAGATGAGAGGAAACAATTGCTTACAACGAATTTGGATTTTAAAAAAAATTATGTGTATTCATTATTCTCAACTCTTCCCTCCCTTTTCTTTTTAGTGTTTTTAACTACATTTCTTTATTCTCTGTCTCTATCTCTGTCTCTGTCTCTCTGTCTCTCTCTCCGTGTGTGTGTGTGTGTGTGTGTGTGTGTGTGTGTGTGTGTGTGTGTGCATGCTCATATATAGACACCCCATAGTGCATTGTGGAGGTCAGAAGACAACCAGGGAGGAGGAGTGAGTCTCCTCTCACTATGTGACTCCTGGGGATCAAGCACAGGTCCTGGGTTCAAACACCTTCTGACTGAGCATCTCCCCAGCCATTCCTTTAATGTGTCCAATGTGTCCGGAGCACAGGCAGAGCCTAGAACTACTAATCTATAACTTTCCATCTTTAACTGGACACTCTGGAGGCCAACAGTGTTCAGATCAGTGGTTCTCAGCCTGTGTGTCATGACCCCTTTGGGAGGTCAACCAACCTTTTCACAGGCATCACATGACAAATACCCTGTATATCAGATGTTTACATTACAATTCATAACAATAGCATACTGTTAAGAAAGTAGCAACTTAAATAATTTTATGGTTGGGGGTCACCGCAATATGAAGAACTGTATTAAAGGATTACAGCATTGGGAATGTTGCAAACCACTGGTGTAGTCACTGAGAGTTAGTTGTGTGAAAGCAAGCTGTCTCCTAAATGAAAGCCTGCACCTGAACACTAGCTCCAACACCAGACTGAGATTCTGGGCTTCTTCCTTCCGGTTTCTGTGTTGACCATGGTCTCCAATACACTGTATTTATCAAAATGAAAGCACATACATGAGCAGAGTGGTTTCCTTACGTTGTATTTTGTTTAGTTACCTCTTTTGGTACTGGGAATCAAACTCAGCCTTATACAGTTCAACAGACACTCTGCCAGTGAGCTACCCCTGGGGCCTCTACCAGCGTCTAGTTGCTAAAAGGGTAAAGACTTCCACAGAAAATGCTCAGCTTCATTTGAAGACAGGAGACAGTAAAATCCTTTGTAACTGGAGGCAGCTGCACTCTGCTTGTCATCATCTGGTACAGAGGTCTCAAGGACAGGGACCAGAGGGAAACTATGCTGTATACCTTAATGCTTCAGTGAGATGGGGTAAAGGGGGAAGGGGGAGAGGGAAGACACACTTCCAAAAGCCTCTTTGAAGTCATCAGAGACCTTGTTCCTCCTCGACTTTATAACTCTAAGAAACAGCAAGTTAAAGATGTTACAAAGTCGATGGAGAAAGATGAAAGTGTCTACCACTCAAACGGTAGACACTATTTTCAGAAGGGAATAGCCCAGACTCTGCTTTTCATAGCTGGCTGTGGTCTGAAGGAACCACAAAGGAAATTCAGCCCAGCCTAACAGTCATTTCAGAAGAATGAACCGGACCATGAATCCGCAGAGCAGTGTCATCGTGCTTCAAATAGGATGCATCTTAAACTGCACAAACTCACCTAACAAATCCCTCCATATGTCATAGATGCAGGGAAAGTTCCCCCTACAAGCCCCGAGGAACTGTGATAATGCCATGTGTATGATTTTGCTGTCACTGTTTTTGACTACAGTTCCTAGCTTATTTTCTCTCAGCAAGGCAGGTCATACTGGCTAAATCTCCTCTTCTCCAGGGAAGGTTATCAAAGCTCAACTGTTCCCTCACCTTTCTATCTTGGAGTTCCTGCCTGGCTGCCTAGGAGAGGGCCACAAATCGTCAATGATAAGACCTTTATCGCAGAAGCAGGTCTTGGCCCGTGCCCACAAGGAAGGGATGCTACACAGAAGAAGGCCTACAAGAATCCGGACAGACAGGCCCTCGTGAGCGTTTCATTTGGGTCTATTTGCACTCCATCATAGCCCATTTGTCAGTTCCATTGCAGCCTGGCCATCCATGCTTCAGGGACAGCTAAAGCACAGAGCTTGAGAACCTGTGAGGACGAACTGTGCTGTAAGCTGTGGTAGGGTGGGGTAGTCCTAAAGGAGACTGGACTTTCTGTAGCCCTTCTCTCACTCCTCATCTTGTGCATCTCCTTGGAAGAACTTTCTGTGCTCTGTATAGTAAACTAGCATTCTCTGAACTGCTCTTTGAGGGAGTTACGGAAACTCTCACATAGGGTCAGTCAGATGTCCAGGTAAAAACAATGGCTGATACCTCAGGGCAGGGGCAGTTTTGTGGATAGAGATCGGAGGCTGTCTCCAGGTACACAGTGCCAGGACTTAATTGCATTAGAGGACACCCAGCAGGGGTCTGCAGCCACAGAACAAACTACTTGCTTAATGGTAGAAAGAAACCCTTCCTCTCTATGATATCATAGAAGCAGCTTGTGAGCTGCATACACACACACACAATAGCACAAAATAACTTAAAATACTCAATATTAGAACCACTCCACAGCAATATCTGACATTCATTTGGTATTCCTGGGTGGTGGTGGTGGGGCTCTTTCTTTTTCCTTGGTTTCCTGGCAACTGCTGGTTTTCTCTAGAAAGGATCATCACTTTGCCCAGGTCCAGGCTTCCCAGAATCCCTTGCATGGAGTCTATGTTGCCTCTTCCAGTCTCCAAACTACTTAGGCAGAACTTCTATTCTCAATCTATCTGTTTATCAGAAAGTCATTGTGTTTGGATGTTATGGGAGCCTGAGCAGGCTATTCCATCAAAACTTCCAGCCCCCTGAAAGCAAGGATTCTCAAGTTGCTGGCCAGTTGCTGAGGAAACAGACTCAGGGCCCAGTCATTGACACTGTCTGTCTGAATAACACATTCAATTCCCTTTTTCTAATATCTACAGCCTTTGGATTATTTCAGGATGCAAAGTCATTAGCATTCTTAATTTAAAGAGGAAACCATTGGACAACAGTCTGCAGCTATAAATCAATAATAAAGATCTATTCTGAATTATGGTGTTTTACCTGACTCTGAAATTGGATCTCTCCCCCATCTTTTGTCTTTGAGCTTTTAAAGCTGACTTAACATCTGCCTCTGTCAGGTTCCTGTGGTGAATTGGTAGAAATGAGAAGAGATGGGGTCCATTGACTCGGAAGGCCTGGGTCATTAGTTAAGTCTTCCCTGTGTTTCTGCGGCTGGCCTGACACCCACTTAGTCACCTTGGCTTGGCACTTACCTGCAACGACACTAACACTTAAGAGAGCAGAACTCAAAACGGAGATTGGGAGGTAAATAGGAGTTTTCTGGTTGAAAAAAAAAGAGGTGAAAAATCAATATTTCCATTAGCATTTAAAAGCAGACTTTTCAAAGAACATTTATTTGTTTAGCTGACAGTAATGTACCAAGAAAACCAGATCCTTTAAAGACTACAAAATCCGTGACTACCACAATGGTGGTACCCATCTTTCCCCTCCAATTTTGCTTAGAAATCTCATCAATAGAATTCAAAGCTGAAAACAAGCAAACAACCAAACAAAAACCTGCCTAGCAAAAATATACTCACATAAAAGGTACATATTCTGAAAAATAAAATAGTAAAAAGCCCAGTGATAAATGCCAAAATTATTAGTAATATATCAAGAAGCTGATCTCTCAAACTTTGCTGTAACAGACACAAATTTGAATATTTCATATATATACATATATATTTATATATGTGTATAAACCATATATATATATATATGTATATATATATATAGTTTTTCAAAACAGGGTTTCTCTGTGTAGCTCTGATCGTCCTGGAACTCTGTAGATCCACCTGCCTCTGCCTCCCCAGTGCTAGGATTAAGAGCATGGGCCACCACAGCCCAACTAAATACTTCATTAATAAGATGCTCCAGTTTACATTTCTGTTGCTGTGATAAATGTCTTGACCAAAAGCAACATGGGGAAGTGAGGGTTTATTTCATCTTGTACCTTACATTCCTTCATCAAGGGTAGCGAAGGCAGGAACCTGGAGCAGAAACTGAAGCAGAGACAATGGAGGAATGCTGTTTACTGTCTTGCTTTCAGACTTCTATTCCCTTTAGCTAGTTTTCTTAACCCAAACCAGGACTGCTCACAGTGGCCTAGGATATGTTCTATCAATTAGTAATCAAGTCCTTGTCCCATAGACATGTTTACAGACCAATCTGATAGAGATAATTGCTCAGTTGGGATTTCCTCTCCTGAGGTATGTCTAGGTTTATGCCAAATTGACAAAATCATGACATAAGGCCATTGCTTTTGTAATGTACATAGATAAAATGCCTTTATTTCACTTTTTTACCTTTTATATTTATTCATTTTCATCCCATGTGTATAAGTGTTCTGCTTGCACAAATGCATGCACACCATATGCCTAGTTACCACGGAGGCCATTAGAGGGCATTGGAATTAGAGTTGTGAATAGTTGTGAACCATCATATGGGTGCTAGGAATAAAGCCAGGTCTCTGAAGAGAGCCAAGTATTTTTTAATCGCTAAACTATTTCAGCTATTTTGTATTTTTGTTCTGTTTTCATTACCCTAAGGCTCACCCGTCAATGTGACTTTGAGAAAATGATTAAAGTATCTCTCAGTTTTCTTCTATATTCCAACAGCATTAGCAATAACAAATGTGAGTTTGCATAGATGCTTAGCACAGGTCCTGGGACACAGCACAGTCTCCATCATAACATCTACCACCTCTTCACCTTCTCCCTTGTTGGCAAGTTCTCCCGTCTGGGTCCTATGTCTCCTCCAGTCCATCAGGCATGTCTCCAATCCTTCAGGCATGTCTCCAATCCATCAGGCATGTCTCCCATCCTTCAGGCACAAGAAGCTGCTGGTATCAATCACTGGGATGAGAGTGACCTGTAGCCTTCAGCCCAGTGTCAGGAGAGTGAGTACCTCTCCTTAGGTCACTTGGTCCCCTGGCATCTCTGGCTAGTTCCTGTGCAACCAGAGCAAAGCCCTGTGTGGTCATTGCTAAGCATATAGGATTTGGGATTCCCCATGATCCCCGAAACCAGACAACTAGGACAAATGGAAAGGAAGCCTGCCAGCTTGGACACATTTATTGTGACCTTGACTCTGATATTCAAGAGAGGACAGCTGTAGAACAAAGAAGAGCTAAGCTTGGGAGAAGGAAGAGAGACATAAAATTCAAATAAGAGGACACAAGTGTTGAGCTTTATTGTCCATGCATCCCAGTGTGGAAAAAAACACAAATTTTTGAAAGTTCAAAGAAAACATGTTTGGTCCCAGGTTCAGAGAGTTTTTGTTTTGCTTTTGTAAAGAATCCAGAGAGGCCCAGAAGGAGAAGAAAATTAAATTCTAACGATACAATAAAAATTATTAAAGATGGAAGGAAAACTAAAGAAATCAATACGGTTGCTTAGGGAACTCTCCTTTGAGCTCAGTCTTTTAAAAGCATACCTAGGAGCTGAGAGAACATGTAGCCAAGAACAAAAGAAATTCAATAGCACACCCTAGAAGCATGGTGCCGTAAAGAATAAAGTTTTGCTTACCAACATGGCTGCCTAAACATGACCTGAGCAAGGGTGACACCAATAGAAGAAAGTTTGGGGCTGGAGAGATGGCTCAGTGGTTATGAGCACTGGCTGCTCGTCCAGAGGACCCAAGTTCAATTCCCGGCACCCACATGGCAGCTCACAACTATCTGAAACTCTGGTGGATCTGATACCTTCACACCAATGCACATAAAGTTAAATAAATTTAAAAGAAAGAAAAAGAAGAGGAAGAAAGCTCAGAGGCTTCAGCCCTAGACCAAGAACTTCAGGTGATTAGGAGAAATGGTCTTCCCCAGGGAATAGTACACTTGTGAGTTATTCAATACCACATGGTCAGCCCTATAAACATACATACAAGTAACTATACAGATTGAGCAGGTGGCATGTTTTATATTTAGGAAAGCACACGCGCACACACACACACAGGCACGCATGTGCACAGCAATAATTAAGAAAAAGAGGCCATGAATTTGAAAGAGAACAAAGGGCAGAGTACATGGGAGTGTCTGAAGGATGAGAGGGAAAGTGATACAGGCTGAGGAAGGACACGCTGGTAAGCAGTGCTCCTCCATGATCTGCTTCCCACCTCCAGGTGCCTGACTTCATTTCATGGTGGCCTATGATTGGGACATGGAAGCTGAAATAAACCCTTTTCTCCCTACCCCCCCAAAACAGAATGAATGTAGTTCTTTTGTTTTGGTTTCATTTGTTTTCTTTTTTGTTTGTGTATGTGTTTGTTTAAGCTAAATGTGACGGTGTGTGTCTATAATCTCAGCACTTGGGAAGTAGAGACAGGAGGTACAGTAGTTCAGGGTCATCCATGACTACAGAGTGAGTTCAGATTCAACCTGGGCTATGTGAGATCCAGTCTGTAAACCAACAAATGAACACAAAACTAAATAAGGAAGCTTAAAAAATGCAGTTGCAGGCAGGAGAAATAGCTCAGCAGTTAACAGTGTTTGCTGTTCTTTCAGGACCTGAGTTCAATTCCCAGCATCCAAGTCAGGTAGCTCCAGAGATCTGATCCCCTCTTCTGAACTCCATTGACATCCACATCCATGTGAAAAATGTGTAAAAAATATAAGCATATTATACCTTTTTAAAAAAAGGCAATTCTGCTGACAACAACAAAGATTAAAAATGTTGAGTTTATTTTATTTTTTTCCATTCTGCTCAGACTATGAATAAGGAATCGCTAGTAATATTTCTAAGAAATCAAGAAGGAACATTAAGACAAACAGTAAATGGAATGATTTACCTCTGATCTTGCTCCTGGCAAAGAGTGACCTTGAACTGCAAATATAGATACCTGGCAGTTGATGACAAACATGGTTTCCATCCCTCGGGGGATTCCAGCGGTTCTCCATGGGAGAATACAATGTGGCTTACAGAGGTGGGAAACTGAAAACCAGAAACAGCAACTAGCATGACGGCACATAGACCAGGCAGTACAGAACTGAGGGAGGCCATGCTATAGGATAGAGAGAGACCAGAGAGAAGCACGACTGGAGAATGCAGAGTTGACTAGAGAAATGTAGGATATGCTGTCTGAGGGGTGTCTTGAAAAGGGTTCCAGAAGGAGAAAGCCAGAAAGAGTGTGGAAAGTAAGAGTCCAGAGGAACTACACCTGACTATGATAGAGACAGAAAGTTGGGTTGTTTCTTCCCGGCTTTGATTTGGTTTTGGCTTTGTATTGTGATTTTTTAAAGACACATTATTTGTTCAAATTAATGGGTTTCATCTTGGCATTTCTATGCTGTGGTGCTCTCTGAGTGTGAGCCCTTTCTTCTGCTCTCTTGCCCTCTGTCCCTGATCTGTGTTGAAGGATGTTTAAGGCATGCATGATGGCCCGAATTCAGACCTGACAGTATATGATGTAATCATGGAATTAGCTGTGTGTAAAGGGGTGATAGAGAAAAGACTAGAAAGACTAGGTCTAAGGGACTTACCTCCTATCTGAAAGTCTATAATGTAGGCTCTGCATCTGGTCAAGTTCTAGACATGATTGGTTTTAAGGTGTTTGTTTTGGTTTGTTTTGGTTTGGTTTGGAATAAGGTTTTGCAATATCCCAGTTTGATCTGGTACTCACAATCATCCTTCTTCAACTGCCGCCCCCCCACCCCCAAGTACCAGGACTGTAAACAGCCATCACTATGCTCAGTGAGGTGGATTTTTCAAGTAAAAGCCATTTGTGGGATGAAGACATGACTCAGTTGGTAGGGTACTTATCTGACTTGCTTGAAATTCTGGGGTCCGCCTCTAGCAACACGTAAGCCAGGTGTGAGGGAGCACATCTGTGTTTCTTTCCAGCAGTTGGGAGGTAGAAACAAGAGGATCAGGAATTAAAGACAACATCAGCAACAGATCAAATTCCAAGCTAGCTTGAGCTACATGAGTCCATGTCTCTGAAAATCCTTCCATCGTTTATCTTCTCATTATGTTATCTAAATGTGTAAGCAGAAGCCTTTTAGTCACTTGGGAGACAGAGAAGGGGGAAATCTCTGAGACTGTCAGGTCATCCTGGTCTACATAGTGAACTCTGAGCCAGGCAAGGCTGTGGTGATTTCTTGCTTATTAGAGATCACAGAGACAAGGAGCAAGCCCAGGTCACTCCTTACCTCTTCAGTGTCTCAGCAGGCAAGAGACTGAGTTCCTGTTTCTCCCTGCTAATATCCTGTTTCTGCCCAACTATCTCTCTTCCTGTCTGTCTGTACAGACCTCCAGACGTCTATGGTTAGCTGGTGGCAGGCTCTATTCCCTGACCTTCAGACAGGCTTTATTTGTACAAGCAAGATATCATCACACAGGACTAAGTAGTGATACCTTGTTTCAAAACAAAAGCAGAAACAAACAATCAAAAAAAATTGTAACATACTTTCAGAAGAGGATTGATGGTTAGTTTGGTCAACTTGACCCAAGGTGGGGTCATCTGGTAATAGGGAACCTCAATTAAGAAAATGCCTCCATCAGATAGACTGTAGACATGTCTTGGGGAATTGATTGATGTGGAAGGATCAAGCTGACCACCCGGTCCTGGGTGGTCGAAGAAAACAGGCTGAGCAATCAATGGGAACCAAGCTAGTAAGCAGTGCTCCTCTACATTCTCTGCCTCAATCCACACTTCCTGATTCCTACCGTGAATTCCTGTCCTGGCTTTCCACAGTGATGGACTTGATTGGGATGTGTAAACCACAGAAATCGCTTCCTCCCCAAGCAATTATAGTATTACAAACCAAACTAGGATAGCAATACAGAATACACCCAGAAGAATTTATGAATCTCTTTCAGCTTTGTGTAGTGATTAACTAGCTAGTTAACTAGTTGATCTACTAGTTAACAGTAAAGCTGGTGTAAATGGACAATGTGATCCCTCTTTCCCTATTAAAGGTAAAGAATTGGTATTATTAATTATTCAAATGCGGGCTGTGAGCACTACTACTAGAGCTTATGATAAAGCTTCTGAAGATAGACTGGAGGTAAGGAAGGCTCTCTCAAGGAAGTGACAGATGGTCTGAAAACTTGAAGATGAGTAGAATTTAGCCTGAAGCAGCAGTGCAGGCATTCTTCGAGTTAACATTCATTCAGATCCAGCTGTCTCACTTTAAGGAGACATATTGCCAAACTGGAGTTCCGTGATATGAGAAACCAGAGACAGCTAGCTAGGAGTTACTGGCAGAATAGGAGAGCTGTTTCATCAGCTCTCTGCAGCCTTACAGGAAGAATTCATCCAATTGTAAGGCAATCTAGCACAGCAGGCAAGCATAATAACCTGAATTTGATCCAACACAGAGACGTGGAAGGAGAGAAATGACCCCAGCAAGTTGTCCTTGGTCTTACACACACACACACACACACACACACACACACACACATACACACACATACACACACACACTATATAAAATTAAATTTCTCTTAAGGGTTGGGGAAGCCTGATCCTGCTATGAATTATACAACTTCCCAGAGATAGTAGCATTTGTGTATAGCGTGTTTTGCACAGATTGTCGGGAGTGTTTAACGAATATGTTCCTGTCAAAAACAGGACTGGGTGTGTACAGTTATTTCGCACAAAGCTGGCTTAGTATGTACAAAGCCCTGGGTACAGTCCCTAGCACTGCATAAACCAAGAATGGTGACACATACCTGCAATCCCAGCATTTAGGAGGTGAAGGCAGGAAGATCAAAAATTCAAGATCATTCTAGGCTACTTAGTGAGTCTGAGGTGGGGGTGTCAGTGTCTAAACAGTGCCTGGAACATAGCACTCACTCAGAACATGTCAACTTTTACTATTAGCCAATGAGTATAAGTTGTTATAAAACAGATAAGCATATGCCACTTCATATCAAACTATGCTTTTGCAAATCAAGTTATTGAATGATACAACTTAAAAACACCTGAATCCACTCAATGCTAGAGTGGTTGCCTTGCATGCACAAGGGTCTGGCTTTGACTCCCTAGTAGTGCAAAAATAAAATTGAAATAAAGAGTGAAGCACCTGGGGTTGGATGGTCCCCTGGAATAAGCAGGCAGTTGTTTGCTGCTTGGGATAAGCTAATGCATTAGATGATCCAGCTTTCTGACTTGCAGACTCAATAACTTCACATGGACTTCATTTTGCCTAACAGATATGTTCCCACTAGTAAATTATTTATCAGATGTCCTGAGGAACATCTCTTGGCAGGAGAAAGTATCTGTTTTATAGATTCTCAGGACCATGGGCCTTCAGTTACATCAGAGTCAAATATTTAAATCTCTGCTGAGTCTAGTTTCCGGGGAAGCTACCTGTTCAATGTATAAGGTTCAAACAAGAGCCTTGAGCTTTCAAGAAATCTTCATTCCAAAACATTTGATGAAAGAGTTTTAATTTACTATGGAAACTGCCCAATCATTTCTTAACCATTTGTCATTAGTGAGCTGACTGTACTTTAGTCAGCTTCCAACAAGCAATGAGACTCAACAGCTTCTCTGCATGGGTGCGTGCGTGCGTGCGTGCGTGCGTGCGTGTGTGTGTGTGTGTGTGTGTTATGGCTTGGGAGGGCTTGGTGGTTTGTTTTTCAGCTTTCAGAGGCTTTCTTCAAAATTCATGCTGTCAATGAGAGGCACTGATGAAATAACAAGTGACTCATCCGGGCTCTCAAACACAAAAGGGATCCGCAGAAACCGTCACAGGGGTGTATTGGCCCATTTTGCTAAGAATGCAGCCAGGCTGATTTGCTCAACGGTGAAAGAGTAACAGCAACTACATTAACCACCAGAATGGTCAGTGCAATTAATGCAATTAAAGTAATTAGTCCTGGCAGCTGTAAGGTCAAACAGAGGTAGCTGGGTAACAGCAATCTGCCACTGCAAAATTACTGACATTTCCAACCAAATTATATTCTCTAAATGGTTGCCTTAATGATAAATAAATAAAGTTATGCTAATGTAGGGACTGATTACAGATTGAAATTAGCACAATTGCTTGTTATACAGTCTGCTAGGGTTAACATTTTTTTAAAAACATAATTAATGGCCTTTGCTTACTGTCTCTGGTTACAGATCCTGCAGCTCATTTGCATTCTTTTGCAATATGCTGACAGTGCTAAATGTCTAAGAAGGGTCTCATCTGCAGGCAGAAAATGTGTTTCTCATGTCATCAAGCTGAAACTCGCTATGGCCTTGGAGCTGTGTCAATCACAAAGATGACCAGAAGGGGACCAGCTAAGAATGAGGTTAGGATCCACTTTTTCTTTTCTGTCTTGTGATCCAAGCCTTTTCTGGAGTCCATGTGAAATGTAATTGCTCTTTTGACTCCTATCTTCCCTCTCTCCGGGTCTGAGGAAGAGCTACCCTGGCTGATTATTGCAGGAATGAAAGGCACTCTGACCTTGTCGACCGAATGCCTTGCTGCTTTCAGTGTTGCCTATTATACAGAGAGCAAGCAACTCCTGGAGAGAGGCAGAATCTAGAGCGAGCTGCTCCCTGGGCAGCCTGCCAGAAAAGGCTTCAGCAGCAGCAGTTCAGACATTACCAAACAGTTCAGGCAGTGAGGGAAACAGCCTGGGGGGAGGAGAAGCAGAGAATATCAAAATATTGTTAGCACACACCTAAAGGGCTCTCGGTGTGCTAAGACTGCCCTGACTCAGGCCCCTGAGCTGAATTCTGACCTGAGAACATTTGCTGGGGAAGGAAGCAACTACTGAATGTCAAGCACAGCCACTGATTTGCTGAGAAGCTGTGATTCTCAACCTTCCTAATGCCGTGACCCTTTAATACAGCTCCTCACGGTGTGGTAACCCCCAACGATAAAATTATTTGTGTCGCTGCTTCATAACTCTAATTTTGTTACTGTTATGGATTGTAATAAGTTATCTCATATGCAACCTCTGTGAAAGGGTCGAAACTCCTGTGTTGAGAACCCACTGGCTTAGCCGGACAGTTGCTTATGCAGAAGCCCTTGTGGTAATATTCCTATGCAAATCAGAACATACAGTGATTTTTTTTCTGACAGAAAGTAGGTCCAGGTATTCAGTTACAACAATGCTCTAGATTCTAAATTATTCACTACTCATCTGCTTCGTCTATTTTTAGAATTTGTGGTTGGAATCAAGGTTAGGCTAGAACTAGTCACAAAAGCACCATGCCCTCGCCTTCAAGAGCTACAGTCAAAGGAACCTTTGTGTAAAATCAGCTAAGGTTGGTTTGCATAACTAATTTGACTCTAATCAAGTCTATTCAATGGGATGTTTCCAGGCATTTAGGCATTATGAGAAATATAAGTGAAAAAGAAAGTATACCTATTGATTAAGGACACCAATCAGATATACAAATTGGGCCATTCTCTTTATCATTCTGCTTTGTGCCAAAGAGAGCACCAGAGACTTGCATGACGTTGGATAAGTCTGACAATGTTTAGGTTTGTCTTGTAATCCCCACTTTCAAAGGGGTAATTTTATTGTGACCCTCTAGACTTTAACATCTGAAGCAGTCTGGCTTGAGTTTTATCCTCCTTATTCTGTGTTCTCCTGCTATAATAGAATAGTCAAGAGTAGGTGCTATAGAAGGAAATGTGTAGTTTACTCACAGTTCGAGAGGCTGAAAGTCCATAATGGTGCATCTGCCTGTGCTCAGGTCCTGCTGAGAGTCTCACTGCTATGGCCAAGTAGGCACATGGTCCTTAGAGGGCTGATTAAATTTCTTCAGGAGGGCATTCAGTCACAGGAGAAAAGCACTAAGCCACCCATGAGGACTCTGGCACCATAACTAATACTTCTTAAAGTTCACATCAGCTCTCAATAATGGTACATGGGCAATTAAGTTTTCTCATTGGTTATGGCAAAGAAAAGTTGTGTCCAACCTAAACTCTCAACTCTGTGACTCCTCAAACCTGTATAATCCTGCTCACTTTCATTTGTTTGTTTGTCTTGTTTTGGCTTTAATTTCACTTGATTTTTTAAAAAATATCTATTTTGTGTGTTTATTTATGCATATTTGTGTGAGTGGTTGTTTGTGCACGTGCGTGTGGGTGGTCACAGAGGCCAGAAAATACGGGTAGATTCCCTTGGGTCTGAAGTTACAGGCAGTCAACTGCCTGACTTGGGTGTTGAGAATTAAATTTGGGTCCCGTGAAGAACAGGAAGTGATCTTAACCACTGACCTATCTCTCTCCAGTCCCTAGGATTTTTTTTTTAATTCTTTGATCATTTTATACATGTCTATTCTAGATTTTGGTCATTTTCACCTTCAATTTCCCCTTTCCTATACCTCTTTTCCAATGCAACCCTTGTTCCCCCACAAAGTCCCTCCTGCTTTTATGTTTCTTTGTCTGTTTCCACTGAATTTAGTGATGATTGCTCACGTGAGCATGAGTGGAGGCCATTTACAGAAATAGGAACAATTTATCAGTGGTTAATTACACCATTGAAGAAGGTAAGATGCCTCCTCTCCCAGCACCCATTACCTGCCTGTCCTCCTTCAGTAAGCTGTTGAATCTCGTGATCTCCTTTCCCCTGCGTGATGGAATAGTGATGAACCTGACCTTGTACAATTCTTGTGTAGATAACCAGAGTTTGGGGAGTGTATGCATGCAATGGATTTGTCATGTCAAGACTGACTTGAACTCCACATAGCCAACAACAACCTTGAACTTAGGAACATCCTTGCCACTACCACCCCCTCCCCATCCACCTCCATCGTGCTGGTGTTCTGCAATGAAGATCAGATGAACCTGAGGCATTTTCTGTTCTTAGAGTTCTATGAAAAATACTGTTTTGGAACCACGAATTCTAGATTTCCTGGAACATTTGGGCCTTAGTATTGTAGCCCACCATGCATGCAAAAATGGTTATCCTTGCCAACTATCAAATTCAGGAATCAAAATTTCCCTACTTAAAAACATAAAGAATTGCTGGGCGGTGGTGGTGCACGCCTTTACTCCCAGCACTTGGGAGGCAGAAGCCTCTGTGAGTTCGAGGCCAGCCTGGTCTACAGAATGAGTTCCAGGATAGTCTCTAAAGCAATACAGAGAAACCCTGTCTCAGAAAACCAAAAAAAAAAAAAAAAAAAAAAAAAAAAGCAACAACAAAAACATAAAGAATTACCATAGGTAAACTTGATAGTTAAAGTCCAAGGATAAAGGTATTATAAAATCATTTTCAAGAGAAAGGTAAAATCATGACCTTCCTAAAGATATAAAAATGAGCACGTGTTCAAGATTTGATCCTGGTCATTAATCAAGGAGGAGTCAGCAGATACTGTCACCTCTTCAAGCAGATGGTAAGTGGTACATGGAAGGACGAAATTGAAATGAGGATGAGACAGAAAAATACATTGGGTTTCTTTTCTTTTTATTCCCCCAGTGATAGAGGAGTGAAGTCAGTTAAACTTTTACCAGACAGGGAAGATTTACATGTCTATAAATTACCCACAGACATGTAAAATAGCTCCAAGGAAGTGGAAGATGAGTTTCACCTGACAGGATGGGCAAGGAGTGCATAGGTGCATAGTTCCCCATTGCAACAAGGAGGGCATAGGTGCATAGTTCCCCACTACAACAAGGAGTGCATAGGTGCATAGTTCCCCACTGCAACAAGGAGTGCATAGGTGCATAGTTCCCCACTGCAGCAAGGAGTGCATAGGTTCATAGTTCCCCACTGCAACAAGGAGGGCATAGGTGCATAGTTCCCCACTGCAACAAGGAGGGCATAGGTGCATAGTTCCCCACTGCAACAAGGAGGGCATAGGTGCATAGTTCCCCACTGCAACAAGGAGGGCATAGGTGCATAGTTCCCCACTGCAACAAGGAGGGCATAATTTCCCAGCAAAGCACAATTGCCTTCCTTTTGGAAAAGGCCTTATGAGATCAATGACACACGAACTTTTGAAACATGACACCTTGGCATACTAAACATTTTAAGCTGAAGGAATTGAGAAAGAGAATAGGAAGGCTTCTCTCCTGAACCAGCTCATAAATCCTAGGAAGAATTCCTCTAAAGGTCATAGGGTCCTCACATGAGAGGAATGGTCCTGGTTCCTTGGTGTAAGGGACAAAAGACACAAAGATCTTACAAAAAGTCCAAACTAACAAGTCTTTTGGCTACTTGTCTTTTGCTGTAATAAAATACCCTAACAAAAACAACTTAAGGGGGGAAGGATTATATTTTTTACTTGAGATGTAGAAGGATACAGTTTTGGGTTTTGTTTTTGTTTTTTTGTTTGTTTGTTTTTGCCTGGGAAAATACAGCATCACACAAGGAAAGGCACTGTGTCAGGGGCGAGAGGCTGGCTGATCACATGGCATTCACACTCTGGAAACAGAGTGAACAGCAAAGTGAGGCCAAGCTGCAAGACCCCAAGGCTTGCTCTAGTGATCCATGACCCACTTCCTTCAATGAGGCTTCAACTCCTGAAGTTTCCACAACCACCCCAAACAGAGTCACCAGCTGGTGACCAAATGTTTGAGCACACTAGCTTTTGTTTCACATTGAAACCAAAACAACAGGCCTGTTTGTTACCAGTAAATATTACCCTTTCATCCTCCAATCTCATTTCTCCACCACAGCACACCCTTCTTTAAGTCTAAGCACAGGACTACACAAGTTAACCCATTTCTTCACTCCCTTATGAGGGCACCTGTGTCGCATAAAATGTGTAGTGAATCAGTGTACGTGGCTTTTACTTTTGATCTTATTTTGTTTTAAAAGCCTTGACTTGTGACACAAATGGCAGACAAGAAAAGGAAATGTGTGTGTATGTTTGTGTGTGTTATCTCCTCTAGAACTGACTCTGACACTGAAATATATCAACAAGAAAGAGCGGCACTGTTATCTTGACTAAATCCTTGAGACTACGGCACCAGAAGAGGAAGAAAAGCCCCATGCTTCCTTCTTCTATATGACACAGCCCAGATGGCCAGTCAACTTCCGGTGGGCCTCACTCATTGTGTTTGCGAAGTCCAAAGGTTAAACAAACTAGCACCGTGAAATAAATGTTAGTAGGGCCTGCATTAAGTCAAGTTTTCAGATAAATTGTCCCACAAAATAGTTGCTTTCCTTTTCATTGTTTGAACCTCAGGGATAAAGAAAATACATCAATGTCAGGTTGGATTTTTGGGGGGGGTGGGGGTTGGTGGTTTGTTTCCTTCTTTTTCTCTTTTTTTTTTTTTTTTGAGACACTCTTTCTTTATGTAGTTCCAACTGGCCTCAAACTTTTGAGCCTCCTGACTCAAGCTCTCCAGTTTTGGGATTATAACTATAAACCACTGTGTCTTGCAACCTCATATATTAAAAAACAAATAAACAAGAAACAAAACAAGCAAAAGACTGTGTTAGCTTGAAGGTACCATATCCAAAAAAATTAATAAAAATACTTGAAGAGAATAACCAGAGCACTCATAGAAGCTTCCCTCTAATCAGACATGGATAGGATTCCGGATGTGCTACCCCAGAACACTGCCCATGAAGGACTGCTGCTCACTGGCTTAGCTCAGCCTGCTTTCTTCTAGAACCCAGGACCACCACCCCAGGGATGACACCCTCCTCAATGGGCTGAGCTCCCCCCAATCAGTCACTAATAAAGAAAATGCCTTACATGTTATGGAGGCATTTTCTCAGTTGAGGTTCCCTCCTTTCAAATAACTCCAACTTTTGTCAGCACAGGCAATTTTCTTTTCTCTACACCGAATTATTTACAAAGGAACTTTGGAGTTAGTATTCTTCTGGTCCTTCCCAGAACCTCCACAGGGTTGATGATGCACCAATATTGTGTTTCATCAAAATGTCATATTTTAAATAGTAACATGTACAAGCCTTCTGAGTTTTCAAAAGCCCATTGAATGGTTAAGCAAATGCAAGTTAGCAGGAATGAGTAAAGAGCACACTTCTAAATATAGCCACATAATTACTGTCATGTAAATTACTTCCTCTATACAGCCTTTGGAATGGTGCAATAAAGGCCTTACCTTGACAAAGCTGAGCTAAGTAGAGAGGTGAATGAGTTCAGAATGTCCATGGTTTCTGCATCCATGACATGGGGTGGGGATGCCCCTCTCCTGTCTTCCAAGATGTGCTGCTATGCTATTGAGATCACAGTTTCCCGAAGGAGCAGATAAAGGTGGAATCGCTAAAGACCCATCTCCAGGGCAAGAAGGCAAGACAGCTCAGCCCTCTGTCCACTAATGTCCATGAATCTGTATTTCAATCCTCTCTCTGCTTCTTCTCATAATGATGGGGAAGCTGTTTCCAAAGTTGGATAAAGACATTGCAAACTGAGTTCCACCAATGCTTTTTCTAAAGTACCATTCAGACAAGAAATTTGACATCATAATGATACCTGACCAGTCTATGCTACCTATTATTTGAAAAATCCAGGGAAGTTTGATTCAGCTATCATTGGATATTAGATATTTTCTCTATAGTGTGGAAATAGTAAACAACACAAATGTCCTGTCATTTTAAAAACAAATTCTAAATAGAAAGGCACAAAGTTAATCTAGGCTTCCTGGAGCCAGCCAGCTCAGTAGGAGAAAGAGAGATGGAGAGTTCAAAGTCAACATGGGCAATTCAGGGAGACTCTGCCTCAAAAGTCAACCAAACAGGAGTAGAGAAATGGCTCATAAGATAATGTACTTGGGAGCTCTATATTTGGTTCCAAGAACCCAAATAGTAGTTTGTAACCATCAGTAACTCCAGTTCTATGAGATCCAATGCCCTCTTCTGGCCTCCAGTGACACCAGGTACACATGAGAAGAGCTTACATTCATGCAGGCAAAATATTCATACATGCAAAATAAGTATTAAGAAATCAACCAGACAATAACAGATAGTGATAAAGCTGTAACTCGAAGATTAGAATAATTAAGTGAGATTGGTAGCAGATCGGTAAAACAGTACAGAGAATTGGAGACTGAACTTAGAGAGTGGAGATGACTTCCTGCCTTGCATTGTCTTTAGGAAAGTGAGGGGAATCTACCCAGAGTCTTCATAAAGCAATCATTTCATATTCCAGTAGAAGTCAAAGACTAGGGGCCAGTTCTGGGAGCTGAAGCTGGAACACAGGGCAGGGGGTATGAGGAGCTCAGGAATGTAGAGGTGAAAGACCCCCCCCTTGTGTGTCAATCACTGGACCTGCTGAAATAACATATCAATAGTCAAACAGGAGGAAAGGGTGCCAGCGAACTACTGGACAATGTGAAAAGTAACCATTGGAAGTGATCTAGAAATTTTCTTACCTCCTGCATAAGGGAGCGTGAAAGGAGATGTAGGCAATATTAGAGAAAGAATAAGTGAGTTTAGGGAGACAGATGGACCTAAAGCAAGATGGTATAACCTGAGGTAAATTTCTCTGGGTTCTGGGAGTGGCACCGACTCCACTTGTCCTTAAGATACACACCAGTCTCCCCTGCTAATGAGCTACCTTGGGAAAGGAGTCACAGCAATTGACTGTCTCCAGGAAGATCTGTCCTCTGAGGTCCAGGAGGAAACTTCAGAGGAACTCCTTGCCTGCCTCTGCCGCTCTTCTTTTGAAGTTGAGAGAGGTCAATTTTCAGAGATCATTTTACTGAGCCTCAACAGAGTCTCTGCCAGGCAAACTGGGCCATTGACTTTTTTCCTCACCGTTTCATTACAAGCTTTCAAAGTCTCCATAGCACGGAAACCGTGTGAGCATGGCTAAAGTGCAGCGAATTCCAGTGTGATCGGCATCCCCTGGCAAGGGGAATACAGTCATTAGCACGATCATTCTCATGTAGTGAAAAGAATATGAGAATGCAGAGTAAGAAAGACACTGTCTCCGGGGAACCCTGTAAAGGTGGGGAGGCATTTGGGGTTCCGTGGGGACGGCACAGCAAGCACGCCTTTGGCTGACCAAATCAGGGAAGGTTCAATATCCTTCTCTCACCTTCCTGCTGCCCCTAGGTCATGCCTTTCCCTAGGGTGAAGGAAAGTGGGCTCTAGACGGAACAGCAGCACCCCAAAACTGAGGCCACTCGTCTCTGAGTCATCCACGATCACCCCTGCTTCTGCTGTCCATGGCAGCGCAGTCACGCTGGGTCTGACAGTCAAGTCTCTCAAGCTGAAAACAGACTTTACCCCTGAGCTTCTTCCTACACAGACAGCCAAAATAACTGTGAAATAGTTTCCTGATGATAGGGTGAAGCCAAGATGCCATCGGTAGATGAGCGGATAGTGAGACCGGGGTACATTTACTCAAGGGATATGCGAAACCGTGGAAGAACACCCGGAAGTGTTGTATAAGGGAGGTGACCCAAACTCAGAAGGACGAAGAGAAGGAAAAATCGTGTTCTCTCTTATGTGAATCTGAGCTTCTCATGTAAAACTATGGCTGTGGGGGAAGCCTAAAAAAAAAGGAGCCGAAAGAGGATGAAAAAGAGAGGCTGAACAAAGGCAGAGGACACACGTGACACGAAAGCAGAAAGGACAACGGTGTTGAGGCAGGCAGTGAAGGGGAAAGCATGTCAACTGCAACAAAATACAGCTTGAAAATATCCGCATGATACCCAACAATTTGCGTACTAATTATAAATAAGTAAATGTTGGTGTGAAGTTGCCTCCCCCCTCCAAAAGATAACAGTAAGGTTTTTTTTGTTTGTTTGTTTTTTGTTTTTGGTTTTTGGTTTTTACGAGACAGGGTTTCTCTGTATTGTTTTGGAGGCTATCGGTCCAGCCCGGCCTCGAACTCACAGAGATCCGCCTGCCTCTGCCTCCCGAGTGCTGGGATTAAAGGCGTGTGCCACCACCGCCCGGCTCAACAGTAAGTTTTAAATGTATATAAATATAAAATGGAGCATTGGTGACTATGAGGAAACCATTGCAAAAGAAAGGCAGTGCCTGCAATAGAAACCTCCTAAGGCTGTGTCTGCTAGGTGAAAGTGCATCAGTAATAATCCTTAGCACAAGGAGAGAGCACCTAGCACACAAAACACACTCCAAACTATCATAAAACAAAAACCTTATCAGTGGCATGTGGAGGTACATGACTCTGAAGACAGAGTTTGGAAAGATGATGCAGGAGGATGACCAGATTGAAGTCAGTTTGAGCTGCTTAGTGGGACCCTATCTTTAAAAGTCAACAAATCAATAGGGAGAAAACAAATAATAACATTAAAAAAAAACCTTTATTCTAAAACTAGGAAGCCTCTTCTTTCAGATAAGGGGCAAACATCATTAGGAATTTCAAAAACCAGGAACAACCATGTACCAGCAAGTTCTTAAGTGTTTGTTAGGAGACTAGGGAAACAAGGTGGAACCTGATAAACTTTATTTTTCCTGTGTTCATAGAACAAGGACACTGGCTCACAACAGAAAAAGACAGAGGCAGAGCGACAGGGAGACTGATTACATATGAGAATATATACACAGAGGAAGGCAAACAGAAAGGACTAGAAATAAATGCAGATTCCTAACAATAAGGAATCCTGAAAACAGGATAGGAGCAGGTCTGTGTCTATATTTTTTTAAGACAAACTAAATGCTGTGTTGACATAATCCACAGTCTTAGACCAGAAGAAAATTAATTGTATTGGAAAATGGTTATATTCTTTATAAGCCAAGCAAAGAGAAATAATTGAAAACCTTGAAGTAGCTAGCAAGTTTCTAAATCACTGCTTGAAAATAAAGAGAATGCTTAAACATGTGCCACTCAGGTCAGTAGGTTAAACACAGTCTGTGGCTGCATTGGTTCAGAGGCCCTGCAGTATTCCTAGGGGCTTAATTCTACCAATTGGCGACACTAGGAGATAGCATTCCTGCGCAAAACACTTGAGCTCCCTTAACGAGGGCTTTATGAATCTCTAAGCGTGCAAAGCAAATGAAGAAAGACCACAAAAGCAAATTTCCTGAAAATCTCACACACTCTAACAAAGCTAATTACTAAAACCACTTTTAACATCCAGCTAACAAATAGACACTCAATTTGGTAAACATTTCTAGGCATGTATAGACTTGAAATACAATGGAGGACACAGGACACAATGATGGCAGTGATGGTGGTGATGGTAGTGATGGTGGTGGTGGTGGTGGTGGTGATGGTGATGATGGTGGTGGTGATGGTGGTGGTGGTGGTGATGATGGTGATGGTGGTGATGGTGGTGATGGTGGTTGTGGTGGTGGTGGTGGTTGTGGTGGTGGTGGTGATGGTGGTAGTGGTGATGGTGGTAGTGGTGATGGTGGTG